CTAACCAAGTTGTCTTCTGTAATGTCTGTGTTTTCTGTGTGTCTTTTTCAGGTCCGCCCTGCTCTCTATTTATAGCTTTAAAGAGACAACCTCCTAATCTGATTAGGAGTCTCCTGATCCAAATCTTTATTTGGGTTTGGATTCTTTAAGTGATAAGGATAATCCCTTATCTTATCTATAGTTCAAGATCAGCTTACTCTTTTAGTGGATAAGAGTTATCCTCTTATCCTTATCTGCTGATCCAAGCTTAGATCCGCCCCAATTTAATTAATCCAATTAACCTAGTTCGAAATGGGCTTTAGGCCCATTAAGCTTTCAGGCTCACTTCCTTTTAATGTTGGGTAGCTTGGCTCTCTTTGTATGGCGTGGGACCTTAACGCTGATCTACACATCAGCCACATGGGTTCAGCCTAGCCTCTGTTACAAGGCCTGGCCAAATTTGCTATTGAATACTGTGAACCCTTTGAGTCCATCACTATGAGCTCTTAATGGGCCCAACATTTATACTAAATGGTCTTTGGGTCCAGCCATCTTATGAAGGCCCAAGGACTGTGGGAAGATGCAAGATTACTTCATCAAGTATAACCCTCAATGGTCTTACACTTTACCTCTCAGCCCTTAATGATCAAACACTACCCGACAAGAGAAGACCTCTCCCTCGGCTGCAAGGTAAAGTGCTACACTTTCTACTCACATGGATCCTAGGAAATAAAACCTTTTGCAAACAATTTGTGAAACCATAATATATAAATATATCTCTGTATAAATATATCTTGCAAAACCAATTTTCAAACACATTTGAAATCCACTGTCGGCAGTTTAGGTTTTCATCAGAGAGTGCATTTTCCTAATCATTCACTTTGTCCGACAAAGAGACTGATCCTGTCACTATGATTACCCACTCAGGTGAATTCTCGGACTGTCCCAACATACCCAGGTTTTGACCCCCTCTAAGGATCTCACTGATTGGCATATCAAAGACAGCCCAATCCGACACCTAGTGCTGTATCATAATCGAGTCTAGGGGTCAAGTGTAACATTCCAGTTTTGCCCATCTATTTCCAAGGTCCAAGGCAATACTGGAATTTTGGTCTGGTTCAGGGTTTCAAGAAAACCCACACTGCATGTACCTTAGGTCTCACCCTGGCAGCTGAGACAAGCCACCCCAACCAACTTGGTGGTACATCAGTGTCAACCTTGGCAGGATAAATCTCCCCAAATCTATCAAACGGCTGTGAAGATTCTAAACTAACACGAGTCTTATATGTGTCCAGTTTAAGGGTATTACACAGAAACACACCACAATAACATGAATCAATTATGCACTTTATTCATTTACAATAAATGACATAATGTACATCATGCTGATTGGAGCTAAGGGCATATACTGTTTAACAGAAATGGAAGAGGTTATAAAGGGATGAAGAATAGGTAGAATCCAAATTCCAGTTACCCATATTCAGTTTGCAGATGACTTGATGATTTTTTGTGATGGAGGCTATACTGAGAAGGTGGGAAACCTGAAGGAGTTGATTAAAACTTTTGAAGAAATCTCCCATTTGAAAATCAACTTAGAGAAGAGCTGCATAGCGGGGGTCAACTTCGAGATTGAGGAGATTGAGGCTATTGCAAGTTGTCTTGAGTGTACTATATCCTCTTGGCCTATGTCCTATTTAGGGCTTCCGTTAGGGGCAAATCCTAGGGAGAGTAGGTTTTGGACTCCAGTCATAGAGAAATCCGAAAAGAGGTTAGCTTTGTGGAAAAAGAATTATATCTCATTGGGTGGAAGGATCACCTTGAGAAGAGCTACCCTCACGAATCTACCTACCTACTACCTCTTTGTCTTTAGGATACCACCTAGGGAAGCAAAGAAATTAGAAAAATTGATGAGAGACTTTCTTTGGGAATCAGGAGGGGTAGAAAAGATCATTTAATTATATGGGAGATTAAGCCTAAGAAATGTGGTAAAAAAGAATTTGGCACTGTTTGGGAAGTGGTTGTGGAGGTGGCCTTTGGAGCGAGAGAGGCTTTGGCATGAAGTGGTGTTCATGGGTGCGTAGCGAATGGGTGGGATGCTGGTGCATCAAGGAGGGCTAATATGGCAAATCCATGTAAGGCAATTCACAAACTTCTCCCACAGTTCATCAATTATGTCAGGTATGATGTTGGTTCCTGTAATTTTGTTTGGTTTTGGGAAGACACTTAGGCAGGTAATCTTCCTTTTAATGACCTCTTTTCGTCCTTGTTCTCTGTTTCTTTGCATAAAAATGAGGTGATTTCAAAATTCCTTCCTTCTGTGTTAAACCCGTTGGCCTTGACTTGGGATTTTTGGTTTCCATAGAGGGTTAAGGGATGAGGAAATCCAGTGTTTGTCTAATTTTCTTTGTCTCTTTGAAAAGGTTTGGTTGGACCCCTCAAAGCCAGATAGGAGGATTTAGGCCCCTCATCCAAGAGGGTTTTTTTCCTGCGGTTCCTTTTGTAAGTCACTTTGCAACTCACCCTCTCAACAGGTTTTCCCTTTCAAAGAAGTCTAGTGTAGGGCAGTTCCCCCTAAGGTCATGGCTTTATGTTGGGAAGTGTGCCATGGGAAAGTTAACATTATGGATAACCTACAAAAGAGAAGACCCTTTCTTTGTGTCTCCCCTAACTGGTGTACTCTTTGCAGATCTTGTGGTGAGGACTGTTACCACTTATTTTTATCTTGTAGTGTCATTGCTAGACCTGGCAATTGGGTTGGGTGGGTCGGGTTCGGGTTGGGTCATGAGTCAAGACACTTCGGGTTGAATTTCGGGTCGGGTTATCAAATGCTAGATCCTAACCCTAAATGTTCGGGTTAGGATTGACCCACAGGTCAATTCGGGTCATCCCAAAAAAAACTGAAATTAAAAAAAATAAAGAAAAACTACATGAAAAATGCCATAATTAAAGGGATTAACCTTAAAATTCCAAATATAAAATAAAAAAACTTGAGCATTTAACAATTTAAAGAGTAAACAATAAAGATTAAAGACTAAATAGAAAAAAATTAAAGAGTGGAAACTTCTAACAATGCCTACTTATTCCCAATTAGACTTGACAATCAGGTCAGCGGGTTGACCCAACTCAACCCAACCCAGTTTTTTCTGGGTTGGGTCGGGTCGGGTCATTCTCACATTCATATGAGTCCCTAACCCTGTTTTTTCAGGTTGGGTTGGGTCGGGTTCATGGGTTGGGTCAACTTTTTGCCAGGTCTAGTGTCTGCAGAGCTTTGGGTTTGGTTTTTCTCCTTGTTTGGGTGCAGGTGGGAGATGCCAGTAGAAGTAAGCATGTTGTTTAACCCATTTACTCTCTCTTGGAAGATTCTAGCATTCCTTTGAATAGGGCAATACAGTGGTTAAAGACTATGGAACTGTTTCACCAATTTTCCTTTAATGACTTATGGAGGAACTGGTTAGCAGTAGCAGGCTATTCATCCTCAAAGGAAAGGGTCTCTACAAACTGGGCCCCCCTCCTCAAGGTTTTCTGAAGTTGAGTTTTGATGGGAGTAGCCAGGGCTACCCAGGGCCCTCTTGGTTGGGAGGTGTCTTGAGAAATGAGGCTGGAGAGGTTATCCTTCTCTACTCTGGCCCATTGAGTGCTGGGAAATCTATTAGGGCAGAATTGCTAGCTGCTATGCAAGGGGTCCCTCCTGGCAAAAGAATTGGGTGTAGTGCAGTTGCTGATTGAAGGGGACTCTAAGGTAGCGGTGGAGTGGTTAAATAATCTGGAGAACATTGTGTGTGGGGTTACAATAATGAGCTAAAGAAATACAAATGGTTGACAAGGAATATGACTGTTACTGTACAGTGGGTGAGGAGATCAGCTAATGCCTTTGCTGATAGCTTGGTAAAACAGGGCACAATTCGGGAAACACTATTTTGGGCTAAGCTGTAATTTTGTGTTTTAAGATTCTATGTGCTTCATGTTTGGAGAGGCGGCATCTCGCGCCTTCCCAAGGGACTGATTATGCAATTTCTTTCTGATTTAATGGAAATATGATATTTTATCTATCAAAAAAAAAAAAAGATGATCCCTTTCTCTCCCCTTGCTGAATAGAAGATGTTCTCTACTCAAAGAGAACAAGGAGACATTACAGTCTGACTAGGTCGATCAACTTGGTTCTGATACCATGTTAACTTCCTTAAAAGGTTATGAAAAGGTGAGAAAAAGGGGAAGAAAAGTCAAGAAAATGGTGTGGTCAGAAGAAAGAGGAAGGAAAAAAGAAGAAGGGGGGGTTCTCAGTGAGAGAAGTCGAATCACTTTCTCTCACTATCGACCATTTGTTTCGTTAAGCTTTAATAACTGAGAAATTACTATAGAGCACAAATCTACCTAGGGATGGCCAAACATCTAAGATTAAGCATTGAGCTGGGTTAGATTGGGCTTCTTCCAGCTTCTCCATACAACTTTAGTTTTATAGTCAGGCTAGAACACTGCCCAAGGTGTTGGATGCAGACCCAGCCCATGCAGGAGTTGGGACTGTCTTTGGATCTGTTTTGGGGCTTGCTGCACTCAACATATCTTTTTTTATCAGTAGCAGAAGACTTTATTAAATAATATAAGAGTAAACAGTTACGACAAAAACACATCTTTGTCAAGCTCATTAAATCTGCATTTTAGCCAGTACTTATGTGATAGACAACATGACATTCTATTTTTGTAATTTGGCTATTTCGGGTACCATCTAGTATTTGGAGAGATGTGACCACAATTTTCCAGATACATTTGGTTATTTAGGAAAGCTTATACAACTATCCAAGTGCGGTGTTTTTTTTTTTTTTTTTCCAAATACATTTATTTTGTATTTTGACTTACATGAACTAAGATATTTCATTCTTAGGTTCTAGATAAGATTATCCATATTCTGCTAAGAAAGAATAGTAGTCTTTAAAGAAAGTGGCTTTCATCTGGCTTCTAGATTTAGATCTCATCTGACATGGTATGAAACTAAAGTTTTTTTGGTATTCACTTCTTCAATGTAGACAATCTTTCTCCCTGTTGTTGGACTCGTTGATCCAGATAAGCTAAAACCTGGTGATTTGGTTGGTGTTAACAAGGACAGCTACCTGATATTAGATACTCTTCCCTCAGAGTATGATTCACGTGTAAAAGCAATGGAGGTTGATGAAAAACCAACTGAAGATTATAATGATATTGGTGGCCTTGAAAAGCAGGTGAGTTTATATGTTACATATTGTTTGATATATACTTTGCATGAATAAACCATCTACAGATTTCCATAATCTCCCTCTACCTAAAAGTATTTTGGTTTGTATACCAGTATTCTCTCTCTCTCTCTCTCCAAGTGTTTTAAGAGTGCACATGGGCCACGTTTTATGATTAGTTCCTAGATCAGAGCCTACCTAAAATATTTCTGTTTACGAGTATTCTTCTCTCACAAGCTTTTGAGAGTGCTCATGGGGTATGCTGGGATCTATCAGTTCCTAAATCAGAGCTATTAAATTTTATTGAATTTGGACTTGACTCGGAACTCTGACTATCTTGAGGCTAAACAATTCATGCCTCAAACATTGATTGCCTTAACATGGTTAAATGTAACATTTATCTTGAAGGTACTCTGTGTGATTATAAAACCTTGGCAGCTAGCACACACAAACAAAAAATCATGAGAAAGCAAACATCCAATAAGGAGTCCATACTAAACATTCTTGTTTTCTTATTTTTATTATTTTTTGCACATGCATTAAATATCATTTGTCACTTTGTTGCCGTTCCATAAATTTTGGAAGTGATGTCCTGAATGTCTATTTACCTGAATACCTGGAACGTTGATATGTCAAGTTAATACTGCTGCTGGGCAAAGTATGATGTAACTTATGGCTCTATTAGTTTAATTGCCTTCTTGGATGTGTTAACACCCATTGGACTCGCTAGAAAAGGGAAAAACTGCCTAAAAGGAAACCTGCTTAGTATATTCTAAGTTTTGGATGTGAATGTAAAAGCTTAATACCAACTGGTGGAAATTAAACTGCAGCCAGCTTCAAAAGTAGCTGCTACTCCAGGCATGGAGAAAAGTAAAAAAATGAAAAAAAAAATAAATTTCCACAATTTTCTTTTATTTCAAAAAAACATTAAACCTGCATCTCCTGGTAGTCATAGAAATATAGATACTAATACTGAACATCTTATCAATTTTCATTTCTTTGTTAATAACCTAATATTCTTTATTTGATGAGGGATCTTTATTTATTTTGGCAGATACAAGAACTTATTGAGGCCATTGTTTTGCCCATGACCCACAGAGAGAGGTTTGAGAAATTAGGAATTCGTCCACCAAAGGGAGTGCTCTTGTATGGACCACCTGGTACTGGGAAAACCTTAATGGCTCGTGCATGTGCAGCACAAACAAATGCTACATTTTTAAAGCTAGCTGGTCCACAGTTGGTTCAGGTTATTATTATTATTATTATTGTTGTTGTTGTTGTTGTTGTTTGAGTGTTGGTTCTGGTGATTATTTTATAGTGCAAGGAAATCTGGAATGTAGCTTATACTCCCTGTATTCTTTTAATGGTCATCAGTTTGAAGCTTTGTCTCTTGCATAGTTGTCAAGGCGTCACCTAGGCGACTAGGTGCCCTTGGCTGGGCACCTTTGCCCAACTTGACTTTTAGCAACTAGGCGCCTGCCTAGGTGACCAAAATGACAAGGCGGGTTCCTATATAATATCATTTATATTGCTGTATCTTATTAATATTTGTGCTAATATTAGAAAAAATAGAAAAAAAAACATTCAAGGACCAAACTAATCTGAAATAACCTTCCATTAACATGTGATATTTTTTTGTCTTTTTTTGCTAAATAGTCTAAGAATAAAACGCAATCAACATTGTAAGCAAAAATATAAAAAATATGCCACAATTTGTGTAAAACAAATTTGGGTAATGGCATATTTATTCACATTGATATGGAAAAAATTCAATAAAATCATCAAACAGTTTGTATCTTTGCTATGAAACTAAGAAAAATGATTACAACTGTCGTTTTGCCGGTGGTGGGATGTGTCCTAATCATCCCAAACTCAGATCTGTGCAAGAATGGTGCAGATTTGGTTTCAGACTAAAAAAATTGCAAAAACTACAAGAAACAACAGAGGAATGGTGAAATAGCAGGGGAAAACATTGAGAATCACCATACCTGAGAGCCAAATCGCAAGAAGAATTTCCGGTCGCTGCTCTGGTATAGCTCCCTGCTGTGGTGCTGCCGCTGCAACCTCTATGTGCAAATGGAGAAGATGATAGGGTTTTCTCCATTTGTAGGGGCAGTGTTGGCATTTTGAAAGTTTTTTAGGGACACTTGTCCCAGAAAAAATAAATAAGCACTTATTTTTTAAGTACTTAAAATAAGCAGCCCTGGGCTAGCTATTTTTTTGAGCACTTATTTTCAAATTAAGTACTTATTCTTGCAATTTGGGGTTGGTTTTAGCCCTGGGACACTCAGAGTAGACATTAGTCCCCAAACCTGGGACTCAAGTCGTGTGAATTGTTAAGTAAGCTTGTGGTAGGGGTTAGTTTTAGCCCGATAGGAGATGATAAGGCTGATCTATCTAGTCCCCTTCAATGGCTACTAGAAGAGGGGGAAGAAGGAACAAACTACGAAGTAAGAATGGAAGAGCGATGCTGTGGGTTCTGCATAAACCTACAAAGACGAAATGTCCCAATCCAAGGTACTCGAGATGTAGGGGTGATCGATCGTTTGTTGGAGGCAAGTGATTTGGGGTGGATTAATCTTGAATAAAATGAACAGGAGAGCAGCTTAGACAATGAGTCCAACATAGATAGTGTGGATGCAATGGTGTGTATAGTGGTGGACCAAGAGGAGGATCATAACTTGACAAATCTATTTGGTGAGAATAACCAGGAGGTACTTAATGAAGATTTGGTCCAGGAAGTGGAGAACTACATACAATTTGAAGGAGCAAGGGACAGCAATGATTTGATTCAAGTGACAAAGGGGGTCTCAGGCAAGCAGAGGGGGGGGGGGGGGGGGGAGGGGGGAAGCTCAACCAAATCACAACCTAATACAGGGTGTATGGGCAATGGTGGAGAAGTAATTCTAGGATAGATGTACGATAAATCCGGTAGTGGAAACAAGGCTCGATTTGGAGCTCTTTCATAATGCTTTTGTGGAAGGCACTCATGTAACTTAGGTTGATCATAAAGGAACACTATTAACTCTCCGGAATAGGAACAGGAACCCAGGTTGGAGACTCCTTGCCTAAGTGACATTCATTTGGGTCACCTAGTTAATTCCATGTGGTTCTGGGGACTAATGTCTACTCAGAATGTCATGCAGATAATTTGGAGTTGAAGTCATCCTCTTGAAGAGCCCAAAAATGTTGAGATAAATGATGAGGGAAAGGTAGGAGAGGAAGGGAGAAGGGAAATAATAATGTAATAGATGGACTTGGGTGCAGGCTGAAGACAATGAGCTGGATCATAAGGCAGAATCTGGGGGGGGGGTGAAGCAGTAGAGGGGATGGGGAAGGGAGAGATACTGAAGTTGGGTGGTGAGGTGATGGAAGAAAGAGAGGGAGCGTGTTTGTGTCGATGAGGAAGAAGGGGAAAGAGCAAATGGGGGACAGAAAGTAGATAGCAAAGGGGAGTAGCTAGTGGGGGAGTTAGTCAACAAAATGAGACTATTGATAAACTCTCCAAAGTAAATTAAGTCCTATGTTAGAAAAGCAAAGGAACAAATGGGTGACAGAAAGTAGATAGCAAAGAGGGGAAGCCATTGGGGGAGTTGGTCAACAAAATGAGACTATTGATAAACTCTCCAAAGTAAATCAAGTCCTATGTTGGAAAAAGGAAACGAGGGAGGAAAAAGCAGGAAAAGGAAAATGAGTGAAGTGGAGATGTTGATGAATGATGTCAAGGGTGATAAAGATTTAAGTGCTAGAAGCGGTAGAAGAAAAGGAAACAATTAAGGAGGAGAGAGATGTAGTGCGGGACTAAATTTAAGGCCGGTGACATGAAGAAAGTTAGTGGGAATGTGAGAGGCTTGGGTGCTGCCACTAGGAGTAGAGCAATCAAAGAAGTTCTTAGAAGAAAAAGACCTGATAGGCTGATACTTTGTTGATCTAGGAATCCAAAGTGTAGGGGATTGATAGAAGATGGGTTAGGGATTTGTGGGGGGAAAGAGGAATTAAATGGATACTGGCACCATCATGGTCATTTTAATGTTGCTAGATTCTCCAACTGACCAATAGTTTGAGGCAAATGTTAGCTGCCAGTATGAAGAGATTTAATAGCTTTATTGAGTTTCATGAGCTTAGAGAAATACCATGGGGCAAACAAAATATACTTAGCCCAATTTTTATGAGAACCCAATATGTTCTAAGTTGGATAGGTTCTTTGTGACTCTAGATTTGAAAAGGCAAACAAGCTGTGTAGCATCATTTGCTTACATCATTGCATCTCTCTGTATCTGTAAGTTTAGGTATGCTTTTGAACACTTCTTTTTAATGAATAGTTTGACTTTTTGAAGCAGAGAATTCCAACACTCACCATAAGCTTCAGGCACAAGTATTAACTAGCAAATAAAGAAGGGAAAATAGAAGAGGAAGCAAGAGTTAATTCTACTAAAGCTGCTGGCTATGGCAGAACTAGAAAACAAAAGGAATTCTTTGCTCATTTCAATGGAATAGATTGCCTTTTACAAGATCTGTTGACACACTTTTATAGACCCGAAGTACCACTCCCAACTCCTATTTGGATTCTAACTTCCAAGTCCTTCTAGTTCCTTTTCAAACTTCAAACAAAAATTAGAAACTTCCTTTTCAAACTAGGACACACTATAGCTCCCTAATTCGTAATTCTACTAAACATAAGAAACCCAAAATTACTAAAAATAGTACGTCATCCTTTACTGTAAATAGTAATGACCAAAATTACCATAAATGCTAGTCAACTTGTTGACTAGGACTTTGACCATGACTTGCAGAACAAAAAATCCAGCCCACTTAAAGTCTTAGGTTGGGGCACTTTTACATGTTGGATTGAGCTGAAGTTTTACAATATTGGGCACCAAATTTCAGCCAAATCAAAGAACATTTGACTGGTCAAACTGTCACTTTTTTTTCCAGTTGGTGATGCATTTCACAAGTCTACTATTTGACCTTTTTTCTTGAATTTCTTTTGTTGAGACTTGTTTAAAATCTTCTTATAAGCACTTGCTTCACTTTTATCAAAGAATTAATATATACAAAATTTACAAATATCATTGCAATTTAAAAAGCATGATAGCTTAGGTTTGCACAGCTACCTATAACCCACCATCGCCTACTCTTTTACCTCTAAATCTCATTACAAATACGAAGATACATTTGATCACTGTTTACACCTTGTCTTGCCAAAGCATCAAGCATGCTGTTAGCTGATCTGTGAACCCAAACACTTGCTAACAATCTTCCCCTCTTCATCTCTTGTATTTCTTTCATCAAACACTTGTTAAGAATCTTCCCCTCCTCATCAAAGCATATCATTCTATTCATTCAACATATAAATCACATTCAGTTCCCTCTCCAATTTCCATAATCAGATTGTTAAGGTCTAGAGATATTGCAATTTTTAGTCCTTGAAGTACAGCTGTCAGTTTGGCTGTGGTGGAGTCTCTATGGCCACAATTTCCTGAATATAATGCCAAAACCCAAAATAAAGCCATCACAATCCCTATACTGTTACGATCGAAATCCCATTTCATTTTATGAAGTGCAGGTGGTCTCCATTGATGAGAAGAGGATTTTTCTTGGCAGAGCAGAGTTGTTAATTCAAAACCACTCTCTACCCCACTCCTTGATTGAGAAATTATCAAACAAACTAGTGTTTTGATCTAATGAATTACCTTAATGTTTATGCTGTTAAATAAAATGCTTATAAACCTGTGCTTCTTTAATGGCCTCATTTCTTTCTTTCCTAACAACCCATGAGATGACTGCCCTTGTGTACCTCCATAGAACTCTTTCAGGAGGGGTTTGAAAGGTCTGCTAAACCTTGAACAAATTGCCACTATGGTAAATGGTATAATACATGTAAATCGTGTTTCATCATTGTTCAAAGCAATTCCTGTTTGATTTGTGACGTGGAATTTTTCAGATGTTCATTGGAGATGGAGCAAAACTTGTTCGTGATGCTTTTCAACTTGCAAAGGAGAAATCTCCCTGCATAATATTTATAGATGAGATTGATGCAATTGGAACAAAGCGGTTTGATAGGTATTCCTTTATCTTTTATGATGCCCCAAGTCATGCAATTACCATTTGGAGCATTGGTTTCTTAAATTAATTGGTAAAATAATTATATGGTATTGTGTGTGCACTTGATCTCTGTAAAATGGACACAGTTTTCTGACTTGAATGTTTTACCTATTGTTTCTACCCCTTCACAGTGGAAACATTGTTTTCCACTGTTTCGTATCTGTTTTAATGTAAATGGCAGGGAAAGTATAGTTCTCATTGTAAAACTAGTAAAATATGGCTCAAGTATTTCACACCGAAAGATTTTTCACTTTTTTTATGTTAAAAGACCCAACAGCTGCTTGTCTCCTCATTGGTGTGTTCTCTGTAAGTCTGATGGTGAGTCTGGATATCATTTACTAATATCTTGTCGGTTTGTTAAAACTATTTGGGTATGGTTTATTTCTCTGTTTGGATGCAGGTGGACTCCCCCTTTGAATGTTTCAAGCTTGTTTTCTTCCATGCCTAATTGGCCAACTAAAAGGGCTAAAATCATGTGGAGGTGTGGTAGAGCTGCAGTCTGTTGGATAGTGTGGGAGGAGAGGAACTCAAGGATCTTCTCAAATAAAGAGAGAAGTGCGGAAGAAATCATGGAGATCATCCACATTAGGATGGTACAATGGTTGAGAACATTGGAACTGTTCAAAGTGTTCTCAGTTGATGAGCTGTTAAGGAATTGGAAGGAGATTGCAGATTCAGGTTTATGTAGAAAGATATTAAAAGTGTGCTGGACGACTCCACCCCTTGGGTTCACTAAACTGAACTTTGATGGCAGCAACATAGGCAGCCCAGGGCCTTTTGGAATTGGGGGTGTGATAAGGGATGAAATAGGGAACTCGTTAGCCTTGTACTCTGGGCCGATTGGGGTGGGTGACTCTTTGAGGGCTGAGATTTTAGGAGCTATTGAAGGGATACAAAAGGTCAAGGAAATGAATATAAAAAAGGTGGTTATAGAAGGTGATTCTGAAACAGTGGTGAAATGGCTAAAAGAGGACAGTGCTATGATGTGGAAATACAGCAATGAAAAGAGGAAGTATAAGTGGTTAACCAGGGACATGGAAATTCAATGTACATGGATAAAGAGAAGTGCAAATGCATTGGCTGATGGTCTAGCTAGGAAAGGGGTAAATAGAGATACATTATTTTGGGCTATTTTGTAATCACTGCATGGTCAGAAAGTTTCTTGGGTAGCTGGAGTTGAGACTTTTTTAGCTCCATCCCTTTGTAAACCTGATTTTTATTATTAATAAAATTTCACTGTTACTGATAAAAAAAAATGGAGCCATGGGGAAAAATCAATAGTCACAAGGTTTCTTAAGTTTAAATGTTCCCCAACTCTGAGTTCTAATCTTATTAGAAGTTCTGTAAGGTGGCAAGACTCCTAACTACATTAATAACAAGAGAGCTCCAAACCCAAACCCATAGACAATTCAACCCAAATAACCATTTGCACATGACAACTTAAGTGTTCATGCGACCATTCTTACTAGTTAATGGGCTAGGCCCATAACTTAAGTGGTTCTTTAATTACATTAGTTGCAAGTCAATTAGGCTTGGATATTGTATTATGTGAGATCCACAATGTTGTCATATTAGTCCATAAAGGTTTGGCCCATGCATAGAAACACATTCTTACTAGTTAATGGGCTAGGCCCATAACTTAAGTGATCTTTAATTACATTAGTTGCAAGTCAATTAGGCCTGGATATTGTATTATGTGAGACCCACAATGTTGTCATATTAGTCCATAAAGGTTTGGCCCATGCATAGAAACACATTGGCAGACTTCACTAGGTAAACCTAGTGAACCCTAAGCCAATCGAATTGGGTTTAGTTTAGTATGGGCCCAACACTTAAAGTGTAATTGTGTAAGCGATCTTTGATTTCAGCCACCTTATGATGCCCAAAGATAATGGATTAATATAAAATATATGTCCATCAGGTTTCAACACTAAATGATCTTTTGCTCTAAATCTCCCAACCTAGAATATTCAAACACTATTCATAAAAAAAATCCAAACACTGTTCATAGGGAAGTACCTTTCCTTGATTGCTTATTGCAGTGTCACATCCTCTGCTTAGATGGGTCTTGCGATTAAAACCTTTTGCAAACATTTTCATAAAATAATTTATTATAAATATAAATACACTTTGAAAAATTGATTTCAAAAACATGTTGAAATCCATTGTCAATAATTTTAGGTTTCCATTAGAGAGAGTGTCAATCCGATATTCTCTGTCTAATAAAGTGGTTGATTCTATCACATTGATCACCCACTTAGGTGATATTCCAAACTGCTCCAATATACCTAGGTATTTGACCATTAAAGCATCTCATTGGTTGGCATATCAAAAGCAGCCAGTCCAAAACCTAGTGCAATGTCATTCTGCAGTCTAGTGTTAAGTGCAACTTTTAGTAATAACTGGAAATTGGTTCATGTTCAATGTTTCACATAAATACCCACTGACTGTATCTTGGGTCTAACCCTAGCAACTGAGGCAAGTTGCTCCACTAATTTGGTAGTACATCAGTATTAGCCTTGTCAGGATAAACTCCTCAAGTCTATCCAATGGCTAAGAACTTTCTAAACTAACACAAGTCTCATTCTCATAAATGTCCAGTTTAATGGGTAATAGACAGAAAACATACCAAACACAAATATGAAATAATTATGATATGATTTTATTAATGATAAAAGTCAGAATACATCAGTTTGCTTGGAGCTAAGGGCATACACCGTCTAACACTTGCATGTTTGGTAGGTGAACACTTTTGGCAGTTGGGACTCGACGTTATCTATTGTGAAGTTTGCCAATAACAATTTAGTCAATTGATCAGCTGACAAAAGACCTTTTGAGCTTGTCTATGGTTTTACATTTTGTACACTTGTTGACCTTGTTCTCTTACCTCTCGATGCTTGTACTTTTACTTCTGTTGATTTTTTTGCTCTACATATTCATGGTTTGCATATTAGTATAAGACAAGAAATTGTTTTAAGTAATGAGAGCTCTACAAATGTCATTTCAAAATCAAGAATTCAATGAGATCGATTATGCTATGGTTTGTGTGTGTCCTAAGTATTACCCAAATCACTATTTCAAAAAGTTATATGCCCGAGCCAATTGCCCATTTCACATCACCCAAAAGACATGATCTAATACACATGAACTTGACTTAACTATGGATATGGGGATTACTCCAACTTTCAATGTAGAGAATTTGTTTCCTTATTGAGGCACCTTCAAGCCTCCTACTTTACCTACAAGTGTGGCCATAGTTGGTACTACATCTTTAGTACTAGTATCATTTTTGCCCCCAGTTTAGACTTCGCATGCCCCAAACCGATTGAGAGTGTTCCCTAAGATGAGATTGTCACCTCCCAACTAGGTGGTTATCAATGCTACCTTATAAAATGGAAAGGTTGTCCTGACACTGTTACTACGGGGCAAGGAAGGAATGCTGGGAAGGGGCGACAACAAGAATCCGAAAGCCATTTGTTGTGTTGAGGACTTGGAAGAGGTTTTGGACAAGTACAGGGAAACTGGTTTGTCAGTAGAGTGAGAATTTCCAAAATCTTGTAAGTCTTAGTTGGTAGAATAGGAGTCGATTTAGGTCGGAGAAGAAGCATTGATGAGGAAGATGTTTTTTTTTTGGATCAGCAACACAAAAAATTTCATTAATTATGAGAGAAACATGATTACAACAAGAAGTAGTGAAAAGAACCAGCTATAGAAGCTGTCCCAAATCAGTACTACATTTGAGCCCAAAACATATGTGTTCTATGTACCCCTTGCTTGGCTAAGCTATCTGCCTTGCTATTAGCAGTCCTCATCCATTTCACTCGGATGGGTGAGGAGATGTTGAACATCTAGAAGGGGTGGAGAAAGCAGAGAATCTAACAAGTTTCATTTTGTCCACGTATCAAAGATTAAAAAGATGTAGATTCCAAGAAGAAAGGAAGGGGTAGAGTTTTCAAGCTGCAACAAAGGAGAAAACGTCGACTCCGACAAAGGAAGATCTATGGTTAGGCCAGGGCCAGGAAATAAGGAGGGAGGTTGGGTTGGTGTGAGTTGTTCTGCTTTATCTCAACAACTTAGAAAGGAGGAGGTGGATAAAATGGAGATCAGGAGCTTGGTTGATAGGGATGTTAGAATTGGCAAGAGCTTAGGGTTATTTTTTTTGGTGAGGTGAAGAGTTTGCTAGAAGAGCTTTCGGAGTATTTGAAAAGAGCAAAAGGGAAGAGGGAATGAAGAAGTTGTTAGGGGAAGGAGGAAAGGTTTGGAATGAGGACAACGATGGGTATGACGAGTCATTTGAAGCTGAAGACTAGTTCTTTTACTAGTGGGGAGGAGGGTTTGTTGTCATTTCTTTGCCCGTCTTTGCTGTCCTCCTGTAGTTGGTTTGGGTGTTATCTTTTTTTTTTATTTTTTTTGATAATTATGGTTTGGGTTTGGGCTTGGGTGTTATCTTAGCACCCATGTTTGGTTGTAACAAGTTTTTGCACTTATGTTAGGCATAGATGACATTAATCCAGGATTTATTTTGTTCAATGTAGAATTTGGGTTTATTTGTAATTTTTATATTTTATAGGGGCTTGATTGTAATTAACTGTTTTGAGGTTCATTATAAATCTAACATTATGTTAGGGTTGTATGTTATGCTTAATTTGAAATATATTGAACTTTCTTCTTCCTCCTTTCCCTTGTTTTCCTAATTTTTTCTTCTAATAGGTGCTGAGGCTGCATCACTTGATTGTAATTTTCTTTCTTTTTCCAAACTGTATAACAATCATTTGATAAAGCAGGCTAGCAATCGGAGGAATCTTATCTTTGATTTTAGTAGATATAACCATGTATAATGAGAGTAGTCATCCATAAATGTAATAAAACATTGCAAGTAGGGGTGATCATGAGCAGGTCTGGTATTTACGTTATATAATATATAATGCATGTTTAAGAATTATTCCATACTTCATAAAATATCAAATATTGTATATATAATATCTATACTCCTATTTGTGAATTTGGTCTCACTCTGATTGTGAGGGCAGAAAATGTAATTTGAACTACTACTAGATTAGATCTATATCCAATACGCTTAACAATATAAAAAACCATAGTTTTTAAAACAACCCCAAAGCGAAACCATTCTTTTGTCCAAGTGGTAGTTTAGCAATCCAACCATCCGGTCAAATAGGTCAACCCATGATGTCACTATTAAATAACAAAATATAAAATTTTTTATAAAAAGGTAAAAATTTGCGGAGAACACAAAATAAATACAAAAAAATGTGTTAACCCTTGATGCCATAATTAGATAATAAAAATAAAAAGATAAAAGCACAAAAATGTTACAACAAACAAATTTTGTAGAAAACATTTAGCACATCTCTAATATTTTTAAATTCATCGTGTTAAAAAAAATAAGTGTGATAAATACGAAATATCTTTATAGACATAAAAACATAAAAAGTTGTAGAAAAATTGACACATTGCTATCATCATCATCATGTTCTGCTAAAATTGCCATGTGCATATTTGCTAGTACATAAAATAGCACTATATATATATATATTATTGTTCACAAAAGTTGGACACCACCGGACAAAGGCTTCTTATAACTTTGATGGGAGTAGTAGGGGAGCCTGGGAACCTCAAGAGTTGGGGGACTGTTTAGAGATGAAGGAACTAATATTGCTATTTTGTTCTTGGGCCTGATTGGAGTAGATGACTCACCAAGGGCTGAAGTCCTGGTAGTAATGGAAGGTGTACAAAGGTCAAAGGAGATGAATTTGGGGAAGCTGATTATTGTAAGAGAGTTAAAACTGGTGGTGGTTGGATGTGCAAGAGAGGCTGCTTTATGGTCTACAGTAATGAGGCTAAAAACTTTTAAGTGCTTGACTAGGGACATGGAGGTGAAGATTCAAAGGGTTCCAGGGGAAGTTAACAGCTTGGCGGATGCTCTAGCTAAGCTAGGGGTTGGAGAAAGAACAAATATTTTGGGCGCAGTTGTAAAATCAAATGTTTGGAGTGTTTTTATAAATTCAAAAGGAAACAAAAAGGGGTAGAGATAGGACTCCTTATCTGAGCAATGAGTACTTGTATATATTTGGACTTCATCTCTCTTTATTACTAAAATTTGATTGTTATTGATCAAAATAATTACATACATATTTATATACATCTCATTATCAAATAACACTATATATTGGACTGAGCCTAAAGTCTTGGGCCCAAGCCTAGCCCAGATATTTGGATGTGACTTCTTTTTATATGGGGTACTGTTGTGTGCTTATATTTTTGCTTGTTGAAGTCAAGTTGAATAATGTGAACTGCAGCTTAGATATGTTATAAGCTAGCATTAACTATTAGCTCTTTTCAAAAGACATGTTGCTAATGTGGGCATTCCACTTGTCTTTGCTGCAGTGAAGTAAGTGGAGATAGAGAAGTGCAACGAACAATGTTGGAGCTACTAAACCAACTAGATGGTTTTAGCAGCGATGAGCGGATAAAAGTATGTACTTCCTAACCTTTGTGGTGTTTGACATTCTTATATTGGTTGAAGTCATTTGTTATAGCTTCTCGGTCAGGTTTATATTTAACAATTCTTTTTGCTATTGCCAACACAAGTTTCGTGTGTAAATTTGTGGCACAATTCTTTTTTTTCCCCTTCTTCCTCGGTGAAGAATGCACTCCGATTCACTTGTTGAGTACACAATGCAAAAAGCTTGATCACTTTCAATTGTAGAAGAAACAAGTAGTGATTGGTTGTGTATGAACAAAGCTTTTTGTTCACAATCAATTGTTGATTTGAACGTGAACCACGACGCTAATCTTTAATTGTAGAAGGTCCCTTGGTTGTAATGATTTGATGAAAGCCTTCTTGGTAGCAACAGTTTGATGACTTGGATTCTTGAGTTGGAAGCTACAACAATTTAGCCGTAAGAATCTTGGTGGCATGGACATAAGTTGCAACAATTTGGAATGGGAATTACTGATTGGATGAAGTCTTCTTCTTCTTTTCTATAAGAAAAAAGGTGTTACAGTGAGGAGCTGAAGGAGGACCTTTCCTCTTGTTCTCTCCTCTATTTATAGAGGTTCATTGTTAGATGAGCCTGCTAAAAAGATTTGAATTCAAATGCAAGGAGCCATGCTCGACCAACCATGTGAGATTGACATGGGGTCCACCAAATTGGCAGCTTGATGATAATTTTTTTTTATTTTTTTATCTCATATGAGATTTAATTGGGTCAAAAGAATGGTTTTGCTGATGTCTTGGCAAAACAAGGGGTGGGAAGAAATCAGTTATTTTGGGCTCAGTTGTAACTTCATTAAATTTGGGGAGAGTTAAGAGATTTTGTCTCCCTCTTTGTATTCTATTTTTTGGTTTAATGAAATTTTAAGTTTATTGATCAAAGAAAAGTTTTTTTTTTATCCCATTTTTTTTTCTAAGGAAAGTGGGTCTCTTATTAAAGTCTGGTCCAATTCCTAATAGTTGTTGTTGGGACCAAATGGTACTTGGCAAGGGATTGGGGCCACACATAAAAGGTAATTCATCCAACTGTAATTTTCCTTCTTTAGACAACAATTTGGGTGCTGTTACAACCATTTAAATCGGCCCCACTTAGCTAATTTGAGAGAATCTCTCTATTTGGTTTGAGTGAATTGCTCTAATTTATCATGATTTGAGGGAATCTCTCTAATCAGTTTTGCAATTTTCTGTCCTTTTGCTAGATGATATAGTGCAATGGCCAGTTGGGCTTTATCACCTATTTTGTTATTTTTCCAAGATCCTCTTTCCAATTGTATCTCTTAAGATTTCTCTTGATATTCTCTTACGAGTGTCACATTTGGTTTGAGGCAAGCCACATGGTAGGAGAGAAAACTCATTCTCATGGAGTTAACATCCCTTTCCTCCTCAATGTAGTTTCACCTTGGATCTCATCCAATATGTTTCTTGATAAATACCCTTTTTGCTAGTGGGCCCAATGTCCATTTTTATAAACAACCTCTTTAAGCCTTACCCAATACACTATATGGCCCAATACATTAGTTAAACCATTGCCATTCAACAACCAATCTTCACATCGGATCCACCCAAGACATTTCCTTGGCCCCTCTTCCTTTCTCTTTTTCCTTTTTTTCATACCAATAAATGCTCTCCAAGTCGGTGGCTGTTATTGCAATTAGCAATGCCATCACCGACTTAAAGGGGAATTTAACTTTCCTATTTTTTTTTTCTTTCCTTCCTTCACGATTGGTATTTTGTGAGTATAAGGTGACTATATATGTCCATTGAGTGGTGGAGATTGTCTTGCCTTGCTTAGAGCACTATGCCCAATTTTAAATTCTTGGCTTTTGGTTTCTTTTTTTCCACTAGATGTCCTTGTTGCTAGTTGTGCATTTTGGAGGATACTAGCTCTTGTGCAACCATGTACTTTAAAGGTCCAGTGATGTAGGACCAGCTCAGTTCTAATCCTTGGAGAATGTTGAGTGGTTTCCTTGATCAGATGTTTATGGCTGTTGATGGCTGTAATGGCTTCTTGAAGGAATAAGAGAGAAAATAGGGAGAGAAAGAAGAGAGAAAATACTTGGAATCACTCATAGGGTGCCTAGAATCACTCTAGGGCATGTGAATCTAGTGATTCAAAAGGTGCGCCTAGGTGCACAAGTGAGGCACATTTTAGGGATGCGCCTTTTTAAAATTTTGCACTTTTTGCTTTTTTTTTTGAGCCTAACGGCTGGGCACCGAAGCTCC